GCGACCAGCTTCGTTTCTCCTGCAATGGGTTGGTGAGCCGTCCCAGAGCATGCTGGAGTTGCACTTGAAGATGTTGTGGGGTTGTCGACCAAGGCAAAGGGTGCAGGCCGAAAGGGGGGTCGACGTTGCGGGTGCACCCTGTTGAAAAACCTGGTTCGGCCTACTCCTTCGCGGCGCTGTCTTTTGGCATAGTGTGGAAGCGGGGCTGCTCTGCGAGGTGCCTGCTTGCTTTTGGCCTGAGTAGTACGATGCTTTCCTTCCGTCTCCGGGGACGGGGACAGGGAGCGGTCACGTTTTATCCCTCTAGAGAGGTTTGATCTGGCTAGCTGTTCTTCGAGCCTGATAATGTGGGTAGCAAGTGGATGTCAGTACAAGGAGACCAGCCAGGTTGTACAGTGTAGTATTTAACCATTAAATATTAAATGTGGATGTGCAATTATGTGATAACCGATCGCAGACCATACGGTAATGAGCCGGAGTCATGGAGTAATGAAAGGAAATGCAGAGGAGTAGGAGTAAGCTCGTAGGTATAGGGAAGTAGATACGTATTATAGGTGGAGAGGACATATAGACACATAGCATGGGTGTGATATGGGGCCGCATGGATGCGGGGCGTGGGTGTAGGTTACGGGCACGGGTTATGGGTGCGGGTTATGGGTGCAGGTTATGGGTGCGAGTTATGGGTGCAGGTTATGGGTGCAGAGGTATGGGTGCAGAAGGTATGGGTGCGGAGGTATGGGTGCGGGTTATGGGTGCAGAGGTATGGGTGCGGGTTATGGGTGTGGAGGTATGGGTGCAGGTTATGGGTGCGGGGGGGGTGCGTGAGGGTGTGCGGCATGTGTGCATGATGAGCACAGGGGCGCAAAGATGAGATGTGGGTTAATGACAGTGCGGTGTGAGATGTTGTCAGCTGCATGCCCCTCAGCTTGTGAATGAAATGGTGACTGACCGTTTAATGCCTTGGGCCTGACGGAGGTTGAGCACCTCGCTGTACATTTCATCCAGCCGTTTGTCATTGACAACACTGATGTCGAAGACTTCCTCGTCATTGGTGCTCTTGAGGTCTTCCATCCACCTACGGCGGATGCGCGCCTGGTACAGTAGAACAGCGGTTTCTCCCCCCTCTAGGTCGCTGATTGGGTGCTTGTCGAGCTAGACCATGACGGGCCATGACGTGTTCCTCGGGCCAGCCTGCGTCCACCATGGCCTCCAGCATGTAGTCCTTCGCCTTGATGATTTGGCGCCATTCGAGGTTCTCATCCTGGACGACCTTTGTGGATGGCTTGTACGCAGCGGCGGGTTTTGCCAGCACGTTCTCTCCGTCAGCCATCAGGGTGAAGGTGCCCCTCGCCACTGAGTATTCCGTCCTCTCGGCCTCAAGACAGGCCTCCTTGGTGAAATAGTAGAGCTCAACGTACTCGAGTTGTTCGATCTTGTGGATCGCATAGCGGGAAGGTCGACGAGATGACAACTTCCCGACCGTCTTGTTCGGGGTGAAGGATTTTATCTTGGGCCGTTTGTTCTCCCTCTCACGCTTCTCAGCTTCGGCGGCCTCTTGCTTTGCTTGCTCCTGAGCTGCCCTAGCTTCCTCTTCTTCTGCGTGGTCTTGCTCGACCTGGGCGTTCCACGCGACTCTTTGCGCGTCGTTGTTCTGGGTCCAAGCATTTTGGGAGTCGGCTATGATAGCGTCCACTGTGCGCTCGGCGGTGGCTAAGGTGGCGTAAAGCGCCCGGAATTGTTCCGACTCGAAGTCGGGGGGTTGCACCAAGTGCGGGTCTTGTGTGATACGTGGCGGCATGTGTGGCCTGAAGTTGCTTTAGGTAGAGTGAACAGCAGAGATACAGCGCGTGTTGGTAGATACGATGAGAAAAGAAAAGCCCGCAACGCTGGACTGCTCTCAGCGTGGGCAGCAGGTGGCAGTCGAGGAGAAAGAGGTTCTCCTCACCTAACACTGCCACCGCTGATGCATAGACCGCACCCTAACCCTACGCTCGTACCTCACTACGTTATAGGCCAAAAGCTAAGGCAAGCAGGCCAAAGTGTGAAAGTGAACTTCGAAAAGTCACTTTATTCACCCTCAAGATATTATCGACCTTATCATCGACCTATCAATCTCCCAAATGGTCTCGCAGGAAGAACGAGTAGCATTTCTGAGGGTCTGCAATCTCGTCTCTCGAACCCTACATGCTAGGGCTCGCATTCACCTATTCAGGGACATCGGCATTCTAGTCGACGGCAACATCCAGATTCCATAAGCGATCTCAGAACCTCCTAGACGTCTTGACATCGCTTTACAATGAGGACCTACTACCTCGAATTCAGTCGATCCACTTCACGTTCTCGCATCCACCAATTGGCAACGGCCCTGCTATTCGACGGAAGCTCGGCCAGACTGCACTAAAATGGAAAGTGTGGCGAAGCAGCTTCGCAGACCTGCTCCACCTGTTCACACAGATGCAGATCCGCACGTTAGTTCTCAAGGGGAAATCAGAAGAACTCGGAAATTGGAGGCGGGGTTGCACCGTTCAACCCAGCTTTTGCTACTTTGTCCTCGGTCCCTTCGCTTCGATGTTTCCGTATAGAAGGCATTACGGATTTCCCTTCTGTCCTCATCGGCAACAGCATCAAAGCAGCAAAGAATCTGCAAGAATTGACAATCAATGACGCCGTTATGTCCAAAGGCTCCAAGGAGGGTGCGAAGAATCAACCGCGTGTCTCTGCGATTCAGGCGTCGGCGTTGAAGACACTGAATCTAACACGCCGTCAGCGTCCGTCAACTTTCTTCTACCTTCCTTCGGAACTGCTTCGGGATCCCCTTGTCTCGGGTGTGCTCGAGCGAGTAACCAGTTTGGCTATTTCCTCGCCTGTATGCCAGGACCTCGCAGCCTTCTGGGGGCCTAAAGTGTTTAGAAGACCTTCACTTTATCCTCAGTACTGGTTCATCTCTTCCTGACCAGAACGGCTTCGCATGTGCTTACTTATTTCGTCCTAGGCTATTACGCAGCTCACAGTTTCCGGTCCATCGTCGACCTAAACGCCTCCACGCGCTCAAGTTCACCCTCAAGACGAGCATATTTCCCGGCTGCATTGACATGCATCAAAAAAAGGATCGAAACATTTCTTCTCTCAATTTCTTCCTCCGTCGTCCACGTACGTTCCGTCGAACTATTTATCCATACCCATGTTCCAGAGACTGAAGGCCCCCTATGGTGCTTCATGGGCGAGCCACCTCCGAATCAGTGGGAAGAGCTCGACGAGATATTAATGGGCCGCGGCTTGTACCCGAACTTGGACTCGGTGGTAGTCAATCTAGTTTTCACTTTGAGGACGCCTTTTTAGACAAGAGGGGTACAGAGGAGGGGATCAAGCGATACCGCACCGCCATGGTAGAGACCAGCATGACCCGCGTTGCCGACGCTCGACATGCTGGTCTCCTGAATTTCCATGTAAGTTCTGAACGGATTATGGGTAAATTGCTGTAACGCCTGTATGGTTGACTCCCCGATTCGAAGTCCTCTGGCGGGACATTTGTTCCACTTTCCACTCTCTCCGATGTGTACATCGAATGGGCAGATGAGATGATTGGATTCGTCCATACAGAATACTAGGTTGCTAAGAACGGGGTACATTCCCTGATCGATTATGGAAGACAGGCAGCTCAAAATATTCCTGAGCTCTGACGAGAGTGTGCAGCCTCACGCCTCAACAATCGGAGGTGTATTGCGCGGTCCAGCTTCACCCACAATTTGCTCTCCAGCCTTTTGAGGACCTCAACTTCAACTCCAACACGGGGAGGACACCACCCATAGAGAATTCCATGTGTTCCAGGCAGCGAGATTGGATTTTCATCGCCATAATGTTGCGGGAGAAGAGTAGCAAGCCGGTAACAGCACCAACAACATTTCTTGCCCACACCAATAGCAGGCTTCACCAACGCCTGATATAGAATTGCATTAGCACTATCTAACAATGAAGGGGGGCATAAATGGCGCACAGGTTCAATGGACTCCTTCAGAATATTGATGTTGAGAATATCTCCAGCATAGTAACTAGCATCGCCTTGACGAGAGAAATAGGTCAGAAGACCCATAAGAGTCGCTTCAGCGTGAATGGTGCCGCTGAACTTCTTCGGTATAGCTGGTTCGAGTACCTCTCGAACTTCAACCTTGGTGGCATTGAACACCAGAAATGAACGTCTCGCATAATATTCCGCAACGAACTCATCCGCTTGCATCAGCTCGGGCTCGCTCCCAGCAACCTCAACCATGCCAACAGAAATATTTGACAAGACATTTCGGTACCTTGGCTGGAGTAGACTTTCGATGGCTGCGTGCCACGCCACAATTAACTGAAGGTACCGATAAACGCAGTCGCCTTCAGTTTCCCTCATTTCATGCGCTAGCTCTGGCTCTTCGTCTGTCATAGAATTCGGGATGTTTTTTAATCATCAAGCGAAGGTAAAATATATTGGCTCACCATCGCGTTCAGCCGTCACGTCGGATGCCCACGAAGACCCATCACGGGCGGAATTAACTCTAACGCGTTTCCCTTTTTTTCGCGGGTCAGGTCTAAGGTCAAGTAGCCCCATATAAATTACTTACTTTGAGTGCGGAACACCTTCTGGAGAGACTTCTGGGCCAAAAGCATCTTCAATATCTTGGAGTTCCTATACACGAAGGTGTAGAGAGAATAGGTTACATCGTTGATTGAGCGCAAGGTGGTCTCAAAATCCGGCTTCGGTTGATTTGTTGAAAGCCATGATGTATGCTTCTTATCGGTGTCGCAGGAACCTCTGTACTGCTTGATTTTTCTCTCGAGACTTGCAAGCAGCCCTGCTAAAGCCTGAGCCCATATTGCAGCAGTCGCCTGAGAGAATTGCCATTCCTCACCCTTGTCTGTGCTCCTCTTCTCTATTACTTCCGTAGAATGATCATAAAAGTGGCCTGCCCAGCGAGGTTTTTTCACCCAAAGGGTTTTGAGCGAGGAATCACCTTCGTCAGGCACCCATGCCTCGAGCGCTTCATGCACTCGAATGCTCCATCTCCTCGTATCGGATGTCAAGCGCGAGTAGAGTTTCTGGAGGCTTCACATAGTGATGAATGCTGAGAAATTTTCCATTTGCGCCATGTCTGCCCTAACGCAACGCGGCAGAAGACCCAGGAGGTCGGAGATGTGCTTCTCGAGCGGAACGCTGCTTGGGCTGACATTAAAGAAGAGAATCAAAATAGTCTCGACGCATCAAAAGAAAAAATGCACCCTGAGATTATTTCGTCGAATGGTTCGTCCGATTTCGCGATGTCGTGTCCTTGCAGGGAGAACGCCTCTGGTCCAGGTGATTCGTTTTGCACCACGACCAGGGTTTTAACCCCAGTTTCTTCGATGCCTCCTGTAACAGCGACAACTTGTTTCGTCGGGGGGTCTGTGTCGCTTCCGCAAGTAAGAAGAGTTGCCATATGGCGCAGAAAGGAGGAAACTTCGGAGGGACTGCTCGGAGGGCGTTCAGTGTTGTGCATCCTACGTAAAGTGGCCGTGAGGGTGCGAATGCGCAAGGCAGTCTTGTTGAATTCGGGGAAATCAGTCGACATAGTGAGCGATACCGAGCAGAAGCTGTACGATGTGAGCGACTGAGTCACTGAGCATAGCGGGCTCTACAAATTTAGGGGCTCCAGGTCGGGACAAGCAAAGCCAAACTTTAAATTGCACAGCCACCGCCGGTGGAATTAAATACTCAAGTTCCCTCGAACCATTCGGTGGCAACTAGCCTCTCCCTTACAATTCCTAAAAGGAGTCTGGTAATTAACGGTATTTGTGAGCCGATGACTTCAAACTCTCTATCGTCAAGCCTCGGGAGGGGTACCTACCACGGCGTTTTCCCACTACCTGGTAAGTGATTTTCTTAAGAGTGTAATTGATAACAGTCAGAGAAAAAAAGCAGAGCGTGCAATGATCAAAGACAATGAAGAGTGTAGGAGGAACCTGGTTGCTGCACCGCACTTTATACACGCCAATCGAAGCCCCTATCCGCTTATCTTACAAATCACGATCGAAAAGGAAATTAAAAATGTGGCGCATCGTCACAGTTCGCCGCGCGTTGGTCCAGCAAGGTTCCTTATTTTATACATCTGTCATATTGAGTTGCTCTCGCGATCAATTTCGCCAGACTCGCATACCCTCGCGGGAGACTCCAGATCCTCGACACTTCTCCGCCAACCGCCGATCCGAGCCGTTGGGTCCCTGCATTACCTCTAACTGGGGTGAGAACCCTCCTTCGAGTCTGTATTTCTTTTGTATGTGACAAACCTTCTTCCCCCTTCCCTCCGTATTCGGATACCGTAAGCCTTAAGGTTCGACCGTCGGACGAGGACGTCATTCGGCCGTCGACGTCCTTCTAGCAGCGTTCCTCAGTGAAGGGAAGGGAAGGATGATGAAATCAGGCTATCTCACGGAGAGAATGAACACTTCTGCGCTATGTCGTGATGTGATGTGGGAGAGGATGGCTGTAGGCGTGCTTCGGCGGCGGCACCTGTGCTGCAACTCGGGTGGCCGCGGTTGGTAGGTCCGCGGAGAGCTCTTCACAGGCACGCGTGCTGTACGGAAAAATGCCGATGCATACCAATGTCACACCTTACTACGTGGACATAGAAGCTTCCGTATTCTCTATCCCTCTTCCAATTCCAACTACAAGGAAGGAAGGAGCGACGACCAAGGGCACTGCGTCACCCTCAACCCAAGCCCACCATACGCGGTGGGCGAGTGCGCGTGCCTGCGTTGTGCTCGGAGGGATGGCGTGCTGATAATTCAAACATGCGGTATTTATACGCAAGGGCAAAGGCTAAGGCTAAGGCTAAGGCTAACTCCAGCATGACGTGGGGAAAGGAAGCTCGGAGAACCTCAGGAGGCGGCTGTTCCCCGCCGAGCCGGAGACGTCTGTCGGGAAGCAGGGGACGGGGGCTGATCATGAGAAGGTATGAAAAGGGGAAAATGGCGAACGAGAACTCGGAAGGGAAGGGCTTATCTATAGCCTGGGTGATGCATTTAAGGAACGCTCCAAGTCCACCCTTTCTCGTATACATCTGTGCCAAATGCTCTAGATGCATCAGATCTTGCGCTATTATGGGGTCGAAGCCCAAGGTCTGAACTTAGGTGTGCATTCACTGGCAGAACTTATAGGGCGGGACCTGCCGAGGACTCTGCCGTACGGAAAAGGCACCTCCAGGGAGAATCTACGGTAGCTTCAGGGAAAGATGATGATGGCTGGCAGAGATGGCAGATGCAAGGAAGGTTGGATAAGGCTTCTTTTGTGTATGGCGTCCGGAGGCAGTCCTCGGCCAGAAGTTAGCTCTGTCGGTTGAACGGCAATGACAATGAACGAAACTAACGAATGCCTAATACCGGTGGAATTGGAGGGTAATACCAACGGTCCGGCGGACAGCCTCGCACGGACACACGGAGACGAACATCTAAATATCCTCCGGATTCCGGGAGAACTCCTGCGTCTCTAACACCGACTGACTGACTGAGGTAATATGTTGCTATGTTGCGAGGCCAGACGCTAACGGAATTTTCTAACAGAAGTAAGTATCTGTTCCTCGTGTGGTGTGCATGGCATCGCCCGTCGGCGCAACACACAAACCTAATCTTTTTAAAACGAACGAAGACCTTCGACGCGGAGGATGTCCTGAAATTAAATGGTACCCCCGGAACGCGGGTGGGACTTCCCATGGAGTGTCAGAGCTGAGAAGACCTAAAAACTTGCGAGTCGAGTCGGGAGACCACTTCATCAGACACGGACAAGGTCAAGTAGGCATGCGACGTGAAACTGTACTACATATGATAGAGTCGTCTCACTGGATATAACACACAAATCTAATCTAAAATAAGAGACCGCCTTCGATTCCGAAGATTTGGATGGAATGATGGCAACAAGCAAGCTCAGACGCTGGCCACGGAGCGTCAAAAACCGTGGACTGACAGAATGATCCTTACATACAATGATAACTTGAACACAGACGTTCTGTTCTG